ATAATGGTTGCTCTACTCTGATCGTGTCAAAACTGTTTCATTTCATAGCTCATCACTGATCTCAAGAGACTCCAATTGTTGAGATTCACTCACCAGCATGATGGGAGCAGGAAAAGGCACCAATTAGAAATACTTTTATACTAATCTTATCCGATAGCAAGTAAACGAAAATTCCGTTTATGTCACATTTAGTAATCTGATAGGGTTTTCAGTTATTTCGTAGATAACTTCGTTTTCTCTTCAACAGTCTAACATTTATATTTCTTAAAATATCAATCATATGCGAAGCAGAAAATACTATAAAATCAATTGAAATGATTTAGAAGCTTCAAAACTAAAAATATAATGATCATTGATACAGAGAAATGCTTTACATATCAGATGAAGATGTTCTTGAACTGAAAATAAGTATGAAGAAGTTGTAGAAAGATCAGTACACAGATGGAATAAATACATCTGTTAAAATAACCTCTGCAGACGACATGCAATTGATTACAATGAAAAACGAGCAGATTATTCAAAAATGTGTGTTGAACTTATAACCATTTCGACAGCTTATCATTGAATTTTCAATGAAGAATAAGTTAAGTCTTGTGGTCAAGTTCATCGTATCCTAGAGCATCAACAGTAATGTCTTAGCATGGCGAAAGCAGAAAGAGACAGATATTTTTATCTGAAACCTAATATATTTCTGATTGATATTAGTTATTAGAATGGAGAAACACGAGAAATTCATATTACTTCTAATACAGAGAAATGTATTATTTACTTTTCTTTCGAAACAAATTACTTTATACGATTATTAAAAAATTCTTTATGTTATTGAGTCTATTTCTGTACGATTTTCTAATCATGACTGTTCCGATTCTATCTATGGGTTCAGATTCTCCTAAAGAAAAACTAGCATAATATTTACTTACTGATAATCAATGTTGACCTTAATCACTCCTAACTTTCATAAAATTTTTGTGCATCATAAACTTACACGTTCGTTATTATTTTTATTAAAAGTATATTTATTGATTTCAATAATGAATAGTGGATTTTGTTTTATTCAACATTAACTTGATCTTTGTACACAGAGAAAGAAAGAAACGAAACACAAGTGATACATCTCAATAAAAGTAGAATAAATTTAAAATTGTATTAAATGCAATCTGTGTCCCAGTATAAGAAAATGGAGTAGAATGAAGTGTTAGATCAAAGAGAAAGAAAATTATCATCGACATTTTGACTTTAAAGAACGATAGAACTAAATCTTCTCCACATCTTTTTATTTTATCTCAGGTGGCATAAATTAATTTGTACTTGTTTTTCAACAATGCTATATTCATGATCTTTTCCTCTCTCGTTAATTTAATTTTAATTCACGAAGTTGATAGAATATCGGATGAGCATTGCATCGTTTGCACATTTAATAAATGAATATCTAGATTAAATTAGAACATTTGTGCTTTTTTATAAATAGAAATAATGTGCTATACACGTTCATACGCTCACATAAGAAAAATATATAAGATCAAAGGAAAGACTTGTGAACGCGGTGTGTTTGATGTCTACACCTGAATATGGTGTAATATACCATGAAAACCTGCAGTGGAACCACGGGGTTCGAAAAATCTCGGAATTCTAGACGAGATCTTTGGGCTGTAAAATGTAACTGGTCGTGCACATTCCGACTATGTAAAAATCTGGAAGTATTCTTCTCTAAAGAAAATCACCAAATTTCGAAATGATGGACTCGTTATTTTAGACGAGAAAGACAATAAGTCATTCCCTCTAACTTTCCAGGTCGAAGAAAATGACCTTAAATAGAATCATTGAATGCATCATTTGATGATCCTGAATGGCGCATAAATGAATCATTTTTAGATCATTTATGATCATAACTAGCTCATTTTAAGGTTATTTATTGTCACATATCTGGCACATAATAAGGTCATTTTTTGATGAGCTAATTATGAATAATTTTGAGTTAAGCAGTAGGAATTAGTTTATAAATTATTGAGTATAAAACTGCCACAAAGAACATGATAGATTTAAGCAAAAATCACAATTTTATTCGAGCTTTCGATAAGAATCTCTTAACATCATCAGGAATATAGAAAAATGAGGTTACACTCTATTTAAATATTACAATGTTGATTAGAAGAAAGAAGAGACAAAAAGTCGTAAATTATAAGAATATATTTAATTTGAATTTTACATCGTTTAAAGCTTTATTTTGTATTTCATATGTAAAGAGACTTTCTTTGATGATTCTTCGTCTCCAATTTGTTTCTAAAGTTAGTGTGTCTATTTGTTTAAAATTAAATGAATGTTTATCTTCATTGGCGTGTTTAGCTACATTAGAACGTTGTGAATGTTTCTTAATGTCTGTCTGATGCTCTTTCATTCTAATTTCTTTGTGTCTATTAGTTTCACCAATATAACATTTATCACAGTTTAAGCATGGAATTTTATACACTAATTTCTTTTGTTTTTTCGATTCATCCGGACCTTTTTGAATAGGAAGAAATATATTTTTAATTGTAAATGTTTTTCTAAAGCATATATTAACATCAATTAAAGGTAATAGTTTTCTACATACTCTTTTTATTCTATGGGCTAATATTATTGATTCTTGTCCATAATAAGAAAGTAAGAAGTAAACTTTTTTCTTATGTTGTAAATTCTTTAATTACTGTTTCGGAGAATTTATTCTCTTAGTAATAATTTCTGCTTCTCTTATGCCTCTTTTAATTAAATGTTGAGGATAACCATTCATTGTTAGTGTATTTTTCATGAATTTAATCTCATTATTTTTCAATATATCAGTTGAACAGATAAGAAGAATTCGAATTACTAATGTTCTTATTAAACTTACTTTATATTCTCTACATTGATTACTTTCATATAACAAATAAAGATTAGTATTAATAGGTTTTCTATATATTGTTGTATCGTACTTATTCATATTATTATTCGGAATTATTAAAACATCTAAGAAAGCTAGTTTTTCATTATATTCATATTCAATAGTAAATTTGATATTCGGATGCCACTTATTAATTCTTTTTAAAAAATCATTAATGTTCTGTTTTTTCTTAAAAATGCAGAAAATATCATCAACATATCTAATCCATGTTAAAGGTTTATTAGTCGAAAATCTATTTAATTTTTGTTCAAGATTAGACATAAATAAATCTGCTAAGATGGGTCCTAAGGGTGACCCCATTGCAACACGATCGACCTGTGTATATATTTTATCGAAAAATCTGAATGGAATATCACATACGGCAATTGTTAACAATTCTTTAAATTGAGAACGAGTGTAAATAATATTACGTGATTTGGTTGTTTTAAATAACATGTCTAAGATAATCTCAATCGCTTCATGTACGGGAACATTTGTATATAAATTATCTACATCAAAACTTATCATTGTTTGATTTAAACGCGTTGTAATTCCTGTAATCTTTTTAACAAATTCAAATCAGTCGCGAACATAAGAGAATGATTTTGATGGTCTATTATTTTTAATAATATCATATAGATATTTTGAGAGATCGTGATTATATGAGCCTATAGATGAGATAATAGGTATAACAGGATAATTTAATTTATGAATTTTTGGTTGACCATACATAGTAGCATATGAAGAACCAGTAGCATGAATTTTCCAATATGTTTCTTTATCAATCACTTTATCGTTATGTAATTTTAAGATATATTTATTCATAAATTTTTCTTTTTCTTTTAATATTGATTCTTTAGCACCTTTAAATTGTTTCTGTTTAAGAATGTCATTCATTTTATTAATGTAATCAATTTTATCTATTACTACTACAGCATTTCCTTTATCAGCACGACAAATTATAATATTTTTATTATTCTTTAAAGTTTTAATTGCATTAAATTCATCATCAGTTATATTACAAATCTTTTTATTCTTAACAACTTTCATAAAAATATCCGAATAATTATTTAATTTTCCACATAGTGTGGAGAATACATTAGCATGACAACTCTTCTGAATTTTATATGCATTTAATTCCATATCCGTTTTAAAATCAATAAAATTAGTTAACTTAACAAAAATGAAACCCCACGGCTAGAAACAAGTCCATTCTCAAAATTTAACCCCAATGAAGAGTCTCAAAAGATGATTTTTCTATGCTTTCTCGAGTGAAAAATTTGACGTAAGTAAGATTTTTTTGCTAAGTGAGTTTCTCGAAAGCATCTTAACTTAAGGAACCTCTCGACTACCCTTAAGTTTTCACTTAATTTTTTAAGTGAAAAATTATTTATAATTTCTCACTTCTTTATTTTATATTTTTTTCGTAGTTAGACTCACAATAATTAAATAGAAAATAACTTTAGGAGGATTTTGTTCAAAAAATTTCATCAAAATAATGTAAATTTGATAAAATATCAGTGGTTTTTACTGCATGACCTCTGTTTAACTTAAGTTTTTTTGAGAAACAGGCCCCAGAACTTCTGCTCTAAGTCTTAGTTTGAGAATCACTGCTTGTGGAGCGGAATGAAGAGAGAATGAATACGCAAGCCTCGCACACGTGTTTTTTCCAAAGTGGATTTGTGCACTTGAGCACTTTTTTCCGAAGCAACGTGAACTGCAAGCCTTAAAAAATTCTAAAAAGCGCGCTCTGCTAAACCTGTCAAAAACGAAGTACAAAGCAGAATGTATTTCAAAAAGCAAAGTATCCGTGTACTTTGCTTCCGTTTGGTGTACTAATCATTATAAACACTGCTAGTACATTCATTTATTCTCTTTTCATTCTGCTCTGCGCCATTGTTTATAAAGAAACATGTTAACCAATCTTGTTCATGTCTGTTTGTAATCTGTGCGAGACTGACCTCTGTAATATTAGGGCAATTTTCTCTGCATTAGCTAAAAACCGCGCATATTATGGTCATTTCTACGTGATGTAGGTATGACTGGAAAAGTAAGCTAAATATGATGTTCAGATGATCAGAAAATCGGCACACAAGCTCATACAAATATGGTCTAAAAATGACACATTTATGCGCTAACAGAAAATGATCATCGCAAGATCATAGTTACATCATTTCTGGATCATCATCTCATGCTCATTTCAAGGTAATTTTAAGCCCATATCATTTATGAGGCATCAGTCTAACGGCCAACGAACAAAAAGTCCTTTAGAAAGTGAAAAGTAAATTTTAGGTACAAGGAGATAAAAGTTGTAAAATTATTGAACGACACTACGTGCAAACTTTTAGTTTTGAAGTCTTTAGTTTTGTACGAAATCGGGCTTCTTTAAATCTGATCCGTTCATAAGTTAAGCAGAAGAGCACTTACGAAAGTGCATTAGTTTCTGTTCGATATAGAGGTCGTTGCTGCAGCGACGATAATAGAAATGTCGAAAAATTCTTTGTTTAGGATAGCTCCGTGTAATAAAGAACAAGATATAAGTTGCTTTGAACTGTTCATTGCATTTCTAAAGGGATCTGCAGATAATTGAAAGACAACAGAATAAAGTAAAATTATACAAACCAAGTGACGACTGTAGATAAAGTGAAACATGTTTGAACTAAGCACACTCAGTGCGCGAGCACTGGAAAATCTAAAACTTGAATGAATTAATATTTTAATTTCTAGAAAGCAGTACTGACTAAGATCAATGGAAATATTTTTGTCGATCTGAATGAATGATAACTATAAGAAAAGCCAGGTTTAATGAACAAAATGCACATCGTTTAGAAATAAATCGAAGGATCAAAACATATAAGGTAAGAATGAAATGTACATTTTATTTATTTATTTATTTTCTTCTTTTTTTTTTTGTTTCCCTATCTCTTTTTATTCTGGTTTGAGTCATCGATATTACAGGTCATGGACCTTTGATGACTCTCGAGTGATTCGAAATAAATAAAATCCAAATGATTGTAAAATGAATATTAATAGAAATAGATGAACAACCAAATAACGATCATCTAAAAAAGATGAAATTTTTGCAAACCAGTTGATTGAGTAGTTCTTTTTTTGCAAGAGAAGTAAGTTTTTGTTGCGCATTAGGTTTTAGTGCTTTTTATATGATCTAAGAGACTTTTGATTTGAAGGATGCTGCTAGCAACCACTAAAATAAATAAGTGGTAAGAGCAACGAAGGTGAATTCGGCAGGAAAAAAATAGAGCTCCTAGAACACTGTACTCGTTTCACGATAAATTCAGGAGTTGTAGGTTCAATTTCGGCATATTCCGTTAAAAGCAATAGAAGCATACCTACAACGTCTGCTACAAATTTGTGAATCGGAACTACATAGATCCGGTATACAATTCACGTTCTGTTTGGCACACGAACATTTAGAGCATTGCCCTTTTTCGCAAGAACAGACTCTCAAGCCAGGAATCTGGTCAGGCCAGGTAGGAGCCGTCATCCATTGTACGCGCAAATTTCCATTGTGTACTGAGAATCCATTATCTTCTAGATTAGGCATTGTTTGTAACATTGGATTCAAAGCATTTCGCCAAATATGAATTAATAGATTGGCTCGTTTACAATGTAAGTGCCATGAGTCACTTGTTGGTAATAATTTTAACAGCATTTCACTCACGTCCATCTTCTTTTAAATAATATGTGGCAACTTTTGTACGAGCATGATCTAAACTACTCTCACAACTCTTTGCACAAGCTAGAAGAAGCGCTTCTGCCTCAACAAATGCTTCTTTAGGTAACGGAAAACTTCCAAATTTTGTTAAATTTTCATAATTTTCAACGGTACGTAAACATTTGTCGAATATTGTTTTTTTGGATATACCACGTACGTGTGATGTGAATTGTGTTCTAGATATTGCATGTAATGTTAATAGTATATCATTCGAAATCATGTATCGAATGAAAAAATCGTGATGCAAACTGGTTACATCGAATAACTGAGGTATATGGTCCTTATTTTTTGAACTTGGTATCATATCCAGCCAGGTTTGCTCAGCAGTGTTATACATTGATAAACAAATAATCAGTATATCTACATTTGTTGATTTTATAACTGTGACTGAATATGATCGACCAAACTTCATTGATGCATTTAATATCAATCTTGTGCTTGATTGAAAATGATTCGATTGTAATTCATTGCAATTTGTATGACCAGATTTTGTTATAACAATCGAATTTTCATCTGGACCTGAGACGATCAATTGTTTATCGGGTGGAATCATATTATATAAGCCACACCAAATCTGAATGAGAAAAAGCAGTACATAAAGTAAAGTAAAGGGATCAACTTGGCACTTAGTAAATTGCCTCTAAAATTTGAATACTTCACAATGCTAGAATCAAGGTAACGTTTATAGAAAAGAGTCTGATTTTTTCTCTACTTTAACAATTTCTTTTAAAACTAACCTGTTTCAAGCACGTCGATACTACAACTTCGTTACATAAAATGAATTCTTGCCAGGATTTTGTTTTCTTTATTATTTTGAAATTAGGCTGAATAACAGCTTTAATTGCATGTGCTGTTGGGTAGGGTGCTGTTGATGTCTGAAAATCAAATGGTTTATCACAATTAAACACAATATCTATTCTATCATTAGTTCTAAACAAATCTATAATAACTTGAATTAACTCTCTCCCATATTCCTCATATGTTGTTGCTATTGATGGAATTGTATTTTTCAATAATTCTGAGCCTTCAAAAATCATGTGGCCAGAACTAACTGTTGGTAACGATGTATGACGAACATGTGAAGGAAACAATTCTTCTATATAGTCACTAACAGAATATTTTTCTTGTGGCCGATAAAGACCACCACTATCATCAGTTAAAGCAACTGGACGATCGAAAAATTCATGTCGAAATATATAATCCATATCTAATAATCGATGCGTTCGTACAAGTGCAATATTGGAAAATAACAACTGAATTTTTCTTTTCTCTTTTTCAGATATTGTTTGTTTTAGAATTAGACGAGGTACATCATCCCAACTTGATAATGTTCTTATTCGATTACGCACTATTTTATCATCATATTTCATACTTTTTTCGATCAGACGTTTCGTGATAAATTCTAATGATTGTTCTGCACCTAAAGCCCCAGCATTTAATATTTCTTTTACAACATCATCAGGCACAATAATACCGGTTGAAAGACGCATGAAAGACGTATTATTATTGATCATAAATGGATTTATTTTGATTGAGTTTATAATAATTTTTAAATCTGAAATATCTCGTTGAATTCGACTAAATGTATTTTCGATGTTCATCTCACTTCCATTTTCTTCGATTGAAAGTAATTCTTCGACTGTTCTTAACATTTTGGCACCGAGACTAGACGACCGATAATAAGAATGTAGACGATCATCGTCCATTTTTCCTGAAATACCAGATTTTGATTTCGATTCACGGTTGATCGTACACTCTATTGCTTCATCTAATGCTAATTTTGTGAACGGTTTACCAGTAATGGTAGCTGAAACGTTATGTTTTAGATTAGATAAAAGCCATGGGGTACATGTTTGAATTTCAAACAAATAGTTTGAACCCATCTTGGCATATTTACAATGATTGAAAGCATAATAATGTTTTAAAAAGCATTGCCAGGCTTCTAATCCTGCTTCGAAATTTCCAATTCTGATTGAAATTATATGTGTAAATAAAGGAGTCAAAAATTGTTCAAGAATCATATTCCAATATGCGAAATTAATATTTTGTATAGTTTTTTTACTTTTCCATGTTTGAAATTTATTTAAAATTTCATTTGATCGAATTTCTTTCCTCATATCTTGAATATCGAAATTTGCTTCAAATTCATGTATGATATGTCTCAACATCGATTCTTCATTTTTATTTTCTTCAATATACGCAGCTAATTGCGATGTTAATAGAAAAATAAACACCATTTTTAATGCACGTAAACTTTTCTTATAATCATGAGCATTCATTAGATTCTTTATTGTTGCTGAACCATAGATCAATGTCAATGAATCTTTAATTCCGGAGCCTTGAAGAACGGTCCAAATAATACTCATGAAGTTTTTAGATGCATGCTAATCGCCTGCAAGAAAAAATGCATGGTTTTTGAAAAGCGAAGAAAGAGAGTTCAGTGCTTTGAAATAGAGGATAAACATTGTATCATATTGAGAAAGGATCTAAACGGAAAGATCCGCACTGCAGCAGGGGGAAACCACCACAGGTTGAGTGAACAAAACGTACAAGCATCCCGGGGCTTTCCAAATTATTTGTGCTGCTTATCTGTCTCGATTGATGAGCAAAAAAAGCGTCACTAAGCTCCTTTTTGCCACAGAAAGTAGTATGAGTTGCTTCTCTATGAGTAAAGCAGCTATTAATTTAGTTGAAGATTTTCCTCAAAGCTTTAAGCTTTTCTTTAGTCCAACAGTTAGTCCACCAATCGGGTAGCTTTTTGTATCAGAGAAAAAGCCCACCAGGCATAAGAAATATCGAATCAAACGCTGGTTCATGATCGTCCTTAAATTTCTTCAACGATTTGTAAATAGATTCATCACAAACTAGGCAAGCCTGTTATTGAAATTTAGAATCAACGATTGATATTTTTGTTGTTGCCATTATTTCTTCAATGGCCTGTTTTGAACTAGCTACATGTGTGATTGGTGATCCATAAACAAAGTTAGATGGTGATGAGATTTCGAGTAAACAAATATATTTCGAAAAGAATCCGGATAAAAATGGCATTGGATACATTGATGAAGCCATATTTGTATGCGTTAAACCACGCAGCAATAATTCACATTCATAACTTTTACACATTACTTTTGATAATGTAATCGAATGATCAAAATATTGTGTAATAATTTCATTATCTAACGATTGTAGGTGAATTCGAACAGTTCTATTATCAGCATCTTTTGATGAAATATTTTTCAGTTTGAAACGCCTGTTTCTCGGACGACGACTATCATCGATAAATGTTGATTGAGGTTGTGGTTGCTGTGAATTATCTCTGTTACTATTTTCTGCATTACATTGGATAAATAAAGTATTTACATAATGCAAACTTCCTTTCCCATCTAAACTGGTGGTATTCAGGTCACAGTTATCAACAACTTTAATGATAAATTTGTCGTTTTCAAGTCCTGTAAATAAAAATAAGCACATAAGGAAACCAAGCGTTCAAAGATTTCACAGAATACTGTGATATAAATGGAAGTAATTAATCTGTTTCTTAGGTTATTATTAAAGGTCTATCATTACCCACTGTAAAAATAGTAACTCCTCAAGCAACAGGTAAATAAAGAGTGAGTGATGGGCAGTAGTAATCTATTAAATATTTTAACAGTAACTTAGTTCCAAGTGACTGGTGCTGTAGAAAAATACTGACGATAACAAGGAGTTTAGAAAAAAACCATACTGATTTGCTTTCTACATTAAACTCAATAGTAAAGCAATCAGCGGAATAATTCTAAGATCCTTCTTCAAACATATACAGCACTCAGATCTAATAGAACAAACGAAGTTACATCATACGTGGTCCCATGGTAAGTGTAATCTACTAGGGAAAAAATAGTAGAGTCTAACCTGTCTGCTGTCTCTGAAAATACAGTTTTAATTCATTATGACAAGTTCTATGAATATAGCAACCCAGTAAATTTGTTGGTACACGTGCACCATATGGAAAACAATATATTTTCTGAATGTCTTCCACATCTTCATTTGTTTGTATTAATTTGAAAGATGCTACTTTTTCCGCTGCTGTACCACGGCTTTTACTACAAATGGCACAAACTCGGATCACCTAACACATTAGGAAAAAAGCAAGTAAAGCACAACGGAAACAGCTTCTTAAGTAATTTGGTTACTTGTGGATTTCTTTTCCAAAAACCATTTTCCATTTTAATAAATCGATCGGTTTTGTGTAGCTAGACAAGAAATATTCTAAACTGATTATAAGCTCCAAAACACGTGCTAATTTCTTTTTCGTTCGCTTTCCGTTTTATTAAACTAACAAAAAGCTTTATTTTTTCATTTAGTCTATGGCCTTGTCTACACTACAAAAGTTAAAGGAGCTTTAAGGAATTCTATTGGCTAAAAGTTAGTTTAAGCCAATAGAATTGCTTAAAGCTCCTTTAACTTTTGTAGTGTAGACAAGGCCTATCTTCAGCTACTTGCTATTTTCTGTTACCGCGCTTCATCACCAAATGGTTTTTCAACCAATGATCGTACTGCATAGAAGATTAACTTGAAAACGACTCATCGTAGAGAAAAGTTATTGCCGGTGTAGTTTCTTTATTTACAAATAATGATTTTAGGACTAATGTCGCAAAAATTTAATTTTTTGATTAGCGGTCCAGTTTATTGAAGAATGAATCTGCTCGTTGGCCATTAGACTGCATTTATATCTCATTTCTGTCTCATCTTCTTTGACCTGAGTGGTCATACTATATCTAAGGCCAAGATCTAAGGCCGCCTAACATTTTGGAGCAAAACTGTGAGTAGGAAAGTTGTTCAGAATCAAATTCTAGAGTTCTTCACCAGAGCTTTTTCAAAAGTTTCTTTCTTTGGTTCTTAAAATAGATTTTACAGCATTTTAAATTTTAAAATTCCATATTTCTGAATTTTGAAACCAAATAAATAAACTTTTGCAAAAAAGTTCTCATTAGGAACCCCAGAACCAAACAGATCTAAACGAATAAAAACGCATCAACAGAAACGATGTCTAGCCCATCTTTAGATCCTAGCCTTCCAGCACAGATATTTGACACTAGAACCTGTGACTAAGCCTTTAGATATAAGAAAAATTCACGTTTTTTGTTTACGCTCAAGTTCATTTCTATTATAACTGGTGGGAAAACTGTAGCTTGGGCTTTTTTCAATTATTATGCAAAAAAAGTGTTCCAAAAGTATTCTACTTTTTCGCGGTCAAGATAAGATACAATGAATCGATCGTAAAATGACGAAATCACCATTGGAATAAAATGAGCAAGAGACTCTACTATTATTTTTTATAGAAGTGCGTTAAAACACTTTAAAAGTTCAAATTTGAGTTCTATTTTATATTAACTATTAAACTACCGTCATTTTATTTAAAATATTTCCATTAGATATCTGTATTATACCGGGCTATATATACAGAGAAATCCAAAACTATCAAAAAAGGAAAAAATTGATTTGGTACTAATTATCTGATATTTTAGGAAGAAAATAACCCTCAAGGCTAAAATTTTAGGATTAATTCCAACTAGGGTACCGCTAGATATTGGGAGAGTTTCACTGAAATCTGAGACAAAATGTTACGTATTTTTCTTTAAGCAGAAGATACAATGAATAGTCATTGTATCTAATCTTGACCCTTATGACCCATTATGTTTCAGAAAAAGAATAACTCTGCTTAATTTTAAGCATGTCAGCCATTTTGGATTTCTAGTGATTACCACACAGAACCAGTTAAATCCTATCCTGTTCGTATGACACTTTTCAGTGTTCAAATAGTAAATTCACCACTGGAAATTATTTCTTTTAAATTTAGATAAATCACACAGAATGGACAGAGAGCAAAAAATCCAGTATCCGGGTTTAGGCGCGAAAACGATTAGATCATCTAACAGTGACGCCAGAATAATGGCGCCTGAAAACAGAAATGTCTTAAAAAATGAGCTAGATACGATGTTAAAATGATCATAAATATAGCATAGAGGGTCATACAAATATGATCTTGAAATGATACAGTTATGACCTAAAACGAGATGATCATCGTAAGGTCATATTTAGTCCATTTTTCTTTCTATGATCTTAAAATGATCATAATTAGATCATTTTTCAAAATGATCTTAGGATGATCATGAAATTATGTCATTTCTACATCATTTTTAAGCCATCACATGATCATTCTAACGTGATTTTAAGCCCATATCATTTATTGCTCATAAATGGCTCATTTATGTCTCATTTTCTTTGACCTGGGTTACCAACAATGAACGACTCAAAGGATTATACACCTTTTTTTAACATTGAATTATCTTTATTGTTCCACAGGGTTAACAATATCTCCTCTTCACAAAAAAAAAGATTTTAAAGACAAAACACTAGTAAAGAAAAAGAAACATTATTTATACACTGTACATTAGATGACAACCTTTGATTTTCAGCATTCTTCAGTAGAAGCAGTTTGACTTTTCTAGAGCATAACATACAAAAAATAAACAGCATTATGGAGGGCAAGCCAAAGTATTTTTTACAAAAAAGCAGTATTTGTGACGCGAACTGGCTGATCTGGACATCTACAAATCTAAGCAAATCAATTTTGCTATGTTGCGCTCTTTTTGAGAGTCTAGTAAGAAAAAAACTATTTTTTCTAAAACCCATTGCTCTGTACTACACCCTATAGGGAGACTTCGCACTCAAATAAGATACAAACGTCTGCTGGTAAGATGTTGCTTCAGCTGATTCGTTTAGATGTTTATTGAACCTCATTTTCATCATTGATCGTCCATATTTACGGAGAGCTTCTTTTCTAATGCTCCTAGCCAGACCAGGGTTAGGACTCATCAGCGGACAAATGAATAATAAACTGCATAAAATATTTGGGGAGAAAATGAACATGCAGTCGAAAAAGAGTTGCTGCTAAAATAGATCCTTGTGGAGCGCCTACAAACATTTTGATTACACTTGACACCGCTTCACCATGATGTATTGAAAAAGTTCTTCCCTGAAGCCAAGAATAGATCCATTTTAAGAGATCGAGAGGCATTTCAAGCTCCTGTAAATTAGCTATAAGTGCAGGATACCACATACGATCGAACGCAGAGAAAAAATCAACAAATATCACAAGTGCAGGATACCACATACGATCGAACGCAGAGAAAAAATCAACAAATATCACAAGTGCAGGACGATTACATGCAGCAACAGTTAACCTAGGTTCTTCACATATTAACAGTATTCGCGTTTGTAGGCGCCTCTCCGGAGTGAAACCAGACTGTTCATCTACGTAAATATTGTTTTCTTTGCACCACTTTAAGATTCTTTGATGAATTATTCTTTCAAACCATTTACCTAAGTTCGACAGCAAAGAAATCGGACGAAGCTGTTTTCCTCCGGGTATGGACCATCTTTACACAAGCATATCACTTTTGCATGCTTGCTACTTTCAAAAAATTTTCCTTTTCCTGCACATTTATTAAGGACCTCCCCCCCCCTCAGAAATGGTGATTTTCGGTCAAAAAATCGGTTTTGAGATACGCACATGAAAAGATAGCCCGAAGTGTCTACTTTCAGAATCTGTATTGCTTTTGGTTACAAAAGTGATTTTTCGGGGATTTTGAGCAAGTTTTCTAAAAGCCTCGAAAAAACGGATCTTCAAATAATGGCTTTTTCCTGGATACTTGCGCAATTAAAATTTTTCTGAAAACACAGCTTTGTAGAGCAAATATTTCTGATCAAAATAAGACCTCGCACAACTCTGTATGACCTTGCATCAAAAAGTTACAGGCATTTCCCTAGAGGTCCTAAAATCGAGTATTTCATACAGCGTTTAATACAGCGTTTTCACTATATAAGAGTTACACCTGAATGGCGTCCCAAGATTTTTAATAGCGGTTTGTCGTAGAGAGTTCATTCTTTTTTTGTTTAAAAGAGGAAAAGAAACTACATCGACTGACCGGCGTCGATTTTTGAATTAGGTCTTAGTTTTTTGTCAAAC